GCGTCCCATTCTTCATTTACTCACGCTAAAGATATCCTAAAGCGAAAGAAATGCCGAAGACCTCAAGATCATTTCAAGGCATACGTAGATGACACTCAAGTTTAATTGCTCCAAATAGAACGATTTACGGAAAAACTTAAAACAGCCAAACCAAAATAAGAATAAATTTGAAGAGGAATAAAAATGGCAATCAAACATGGGAATCTCTTTGACTCCTTTGTTCAGTTATATCCTCATGATTTGATGTGCGTGCTTCTAAGTACAGACACTTTCGTAAGATTTTGGCCATGCCTTGGCGAATTTCCTTGTTCCGCCATCCACAGATAACAGGATTTACAGACGACTTAGCAAAAGCTATCGTTTCTACCCAGCTAAAAACGTTTAAAGAAGATATTGTTCCGCCCGCAAATTGGTGCATTTGTACGATCAGCACAGGCATATTGAATACCAAGTAGAATCCAACTATGTAGGTGATATTTTTGGCTAGTTTTTTCTGTGCAAGGTAGCTGTTTGAATGACTAGCATTAGAGTCTTGATTCGCTGAATTCTGTTCGATGATCTGTCTTTGGTGGCGACGAATGATTCGAAAAATCTTGAAGTGAGCGAAGCATGTGACAAGCAAGCACAAGATGAAGATGGCTATCTGCAAGTTACGAACAAACGAGCCGTCTCCAACCCATTGCAAACTCGTTAAAAGAACATCGCCAATCCAGATGGCAATAACCACTTGAAGGACACCCTTAGTTGTAACGAGCTCACCGTAGCGTAGATGAAGACGGAGACCCAAATACCTTTCACAGCTCAGTGCACTCAAGGTCACAAACGACACTCCATAGCAAACCCAAAAGCTCTCCGAATACACCACTCTAAACGCACAAGGAACATAAAGGTGGGTATTTTCCATCAGCCTAAATGTTCCATACAGGGGCTGTACAATTAGTCCTATTAGAAAATCTGAAAAGGCCAGACACGATAGCAGCATAAGAGATGGAGTGTGAAGAGAGTTATTCTTGGTGATTGCTAATATGACAAATAGGTTCGCAGTGATGGCGAACGGTATGAGAGCAAAGTTAATCAAGGCGGTTATTAGATTCGTGGTATAGCGTTCGCTCCAAACCAAGTTGAACTCCGGTTCTGGGAGAAAGAAACACTGCTGGTATTCTTGAGGCGTACTTCCTAGCGTCGTATTGTTCGCTCCTAGCTTCAACGCGTCCATCTCCTTCTGTTAGAGTTGCTACTGTGAGTGAGAATCCTTAGTATTCCCCAGAAAAGTCAGGCAGACTGATGCTTGTCAGGCTCCTCTTAAGTGGCCTTCGAATTCGTTATCACAATCATCTTCTTCCATCGTGTAAACACTATGATTGAGACACGAAAGAGCGTTTTATTTGGTCGTGCAGCAACAAATATAAAATGTCAACAAAACAAATACCGTATGTCAATAGTGATTTTCKCACTCATTAGTTCTTACGGTAAGGAGTATGACATTTAATTCCAACATTTTAATAGCACCGATAGCTGAATTAATATCGATCAAAGATAACTGCTGAATTTGGATATTGGATAGCCTGACAGCTGCGATTCCGTAGACACTTTTTTTTATTTATTAAAAAGAGGAAAAGAGAAAAGAAATCAATAGAGGGAAGAAAGATAAAGGAAACGTCAAGAGAAGAATAAATGAAATAGAAAAATGTAGGCATTTAATATTACAAATTCCATTGATATTGATAGTGAGAAACGCAGTTGCTATATGATGAAATTTAAACCAAAATGTATTCTTTTTTTGTACAAAATGAGAGATAATGTTGGTGATAGGTAAAATGTTGGCTTATGATTTACCATCATGTTTTTAGCTTCAAGTTCCTCTGCTTTATTCGAGAGACAATATAAATATTTTTTGTTTTGAGAAGGTCGGATGCTTCCAAAAAGGTCGCAAATTCGCAACCATTTTTCAACCCAACAGAGTAGAGTGCACACCATATATCTGTGAAAACCTTTGTAGGAAATTGTACAAATTTGCAAAAATTATAAGAGTAGACATCAGAGACCGTAGACCTACAAAACTTTGCACTGTTTTGAACGATTTTGTTAGTTAACTTTTTCCGGATATATGGTATCACTCTAACATGAACATTTTTAGGAAAGTTAGGTTATAACTTTTGCATTGCTTTGAATATATCAACGGCTGGATTGACAGGCTCAGTGCTGTATTTGTCCAGGAAAGCTTTGCGTTTATACGATATAGTATTAAGTARAAAGCCGAATGTCATCGTTTGATGGAAGGATGGCACGAAACACTGACCCTCTACAAACTGTCACAATCTTGACCACACAAGACTGGCTCGCACACTTCTCTTCGCAAAAGGCATCGATATCAAATGTCATTCAGAACTTCTTTATGACAAATAAAAGTGTTTCAAAAAAGTGAAAGGAAAATATAGCTTTCTTTTAATTAATCAATTCTCTAGCAGAATTTTAGAATTCATTAAGTTTTTACTTAAACTTCCAGAAATGTCGGCCGAGAACGACGATTAGTCTAGTTGTCAGTCGCGTTGGTAAGGCAACCCTAAAAGTCGCCGATAAATACGACCTCACAATTTCCTAGCATTATGTTTTATCACTCAATTCGTAGCTTGTCGTCAAACAGCTTTTAATAAGTCCAGAAAGTGGCTTAATCGTGTAAAGCATGACAATCTGATAGTGAATACTATAGTTAATAGTACAAAAGTTTATGATGGTTGAAAGTAAGGTGATAGTCATGGTGATTGTTATCAATTGCAAATGGTATTTTATATTTTCATTGTTATCAGCTTTTAGTGGTATGAATGAAACCTGTTTCCTCGACAAATGAAATGCCAAAATTGGACGGAGGATGATAATCCAAATGTATGATGGAAGACGTTGATGATGACAATGACAAAGATGGTGTTCGTGCTGGTCATTGGTAGTGACGATGACATTTCATTCCTTTAATTTGAAAATACGGCAAAGATAATAATAATAGACGATGATGGTGCAGGTGGTGGTGGACGGATGACGATGATGGAGAATGATGTCTTCTGACACCTTGAAATGGTAATGAACGATGAGAAATTTGATATAAAGGACTGCTTGTGACTGAATATGACGATTACGATGGTGGCATCGAAGTTCACTTAAAGTGCTTATAAGTCTTTACACAATATTTTCAGAATTGATTCTTTAATAGTGAATAGTTGATTGTGAAAATAATTCGTCATTTGAATGTCGGGTCTTTGAGATACGAAGGTTTATATTTCCAATATGTTAATGCGGACTATGACGTAACATAAGGGATCATTTAATATGCAACACTGCACTCGTTCCGGAATACAGTAAAGGCTTATAAGCACTTTAATGACCAATGACGAAGATGGTAATGATGGTAATGATAGTAACGATGCTGTTGATGTCTTAGAACAGTGTTAATAACGATGATGGTACGTGTCAATGATGATGTCGATCATGATTAAGAGCTAGCGAGACGCTATTTTCAGACAGTGTTCAGAACGACAAATGATTCCGAAGCGTCAAATCCTAATAGGTGTTGCCCCAACAAAACAGATGAATACGTTTTTACTTATCCCTATCTGTGCATCGCTTTTCCCCAGGTTATTAATAAAGAAGTGTCTCCATCAAGCTAAGTGTACGATAACCACAGCACATCAGAAGACTATGATTACCTCGAAACTGTCTTAATCAGTTATACRAAAAGCAATTTAGGCAAGAAATCAAGATGAGAACCATGAAAACCACTAAGTTGACGTCAATAATGATAGTAAAAGGATTAACTGGCAGTATTTTTACTTACAAAAATAGATACTATTTTCAGTCCATTACAGTTTTAATTCAATGCTTSCCTGTTTTCAATCTTTCGTCTGACGAAATCGATAATAAAATCGCTGATAGGAATTTAATTTTAATTTAATTTTGTAGTCATTATTATATTTTTTTCATTTCCTCTCTGTTTATCACAAGTAGAATACGATGTTCTAGCTCTGTGCCAAGCATTTTGTACATTGATTTTGGTTAGAAGAACTGATGTAYAGAATCTGAGGCTTCGTTTATCTGAACAGCGTCAACGCTTTGAAAACCATGTGCGCGCATTCATATGCGAACMAGAGTTTTACGTAGCGTCGGCTCACGTCACATTTTCACCGCAATTCCACGCATGCTCTGTCAGGTGTTCGTATAAGGGAAGCCATAAAGACCTCGGCATAAAAGGGAAAATTCTTTCACTGATTCTTTGACTTTACTCTTCTGAGCTCGACCTCTGAATGCAACAAAAAAAAAAAATGTTTGAGATTGAACGAACGTGATTGAGAGACAGTACGAGAGAGAATAAAGAAAAGCAAATAAGATCATGGGAAGGAGTCCACTCGAAGAGATTGGATTAGTTAAAGAGTACAACATAAAATCAACCTTGGGCGTAATGTTTTCACATTTCAGACCACGTGTCATTCCCTTGAGAATAAGATTCTTTGTTTGAGTTGTATCCATATTCATGTGTCTTCTCATGCGCAACCGAGCGCAATTCTTAATCAAAGAAATGATACTCTAGGGAATGACACGTGGTCTGAAATGGGAAAACATTACGCCCAAGGTAAAGAAGTCTATTCCCGTCCTCCTTACCTTAAAATCGAGCTCGAAAACTGCTGTTTTTGTGCTGGAGTAACCAGCGTTGAAGGGAATCCCTGTACCTCAAGGACGGCCTGACAATAACAAAATGCAGAGCCATTTAGAAGGGCATGTTTCAAGGCTATGGCATGACTAAGGTGAAGGATACGTTTTATCAGGGTGTGGGGCTCTGGCTTTCCTTGAAAGCCAAGCTTGGAATTAGGGTGGGAGTTAGAAGCTTCAGATGCGACAGTCTCCAGCGAAATTYTAAACTTGGTCAGTCAAATTAAGTTGTATTTTGAACGTAAAAAAACGTCATTGAAGATGCTTCATATTTTTTTCGTGTCATGATATGATTCACTAAAGTCAGAAGAATGGGCACGCCTTTGTCTCGAGCGAATAGTCCCCTTCACAGTTCCCTGCGCCATCTTGAAAGGTAGCCGTGCCTTTGCATCGAAGCGAGACGAACGGTGAGCTTGCAATGATAGAGACCTTTTTTTAACACCTTGGACAATTATTCACATGTCTCTGTCATTGYAAGCTCACCGTTCGTCTCGCTTCAATGCAAAGGCACGGCTACCTTTGAAGGGGACTAACTGTGAAGGGGACTATTGCTAAAAGGAATAATCTCTGTCACTCTACCTGCATCCATTTTGAAAGGAGTTCCACGCATCGTTTATTTAGTGTCAGTAAGATTTCTGCTAAGAAGTCAGTACACTGACGAGGTACCCCACCACCAATACCCTAACAATAAACAGCACAAAAAAAAATCCATTTATTTTCTTCAGAAGCTTTTTACTTGTAGGATACAATTTTGGCTACTAAGGAATAAATAGAAAACGCGCGCGCGTGCTGTAAATGGTTTGTGGGTTTGTAGACCACGAGAGAGGTGTTAGGAGAAGCACAAAGCGTAGTGTTTTCTCATAAAGCATGCGCCCCCAACCAATCAGAAGGCGAGATTTATAACAGTAAAGTTAGTCTGTTYCCCTTATACACCGAATCAAAATATGGCGACTAATTTGAATAACTATCGTTCTGCACTGACAAGCGACTGACTAGCCTTGTGTTGGAGGAAAAAAAGCATTTTCACACGTATGAGAGGCATAGTCAGTGCAGATCAGTTATTCACCATTTTCCATACATCAGTTCACTGGTCAAACACAAAGCGCTCGAGCGAGGTGCCAAGGTACTTTCAAAGGATTATTCAAATTTGAACCTTGCAACCTCGACTGAATGCTTTGTGTTTGACCAGTGAACCGACGTATGGAAAACGGTGAATTCAAATCGGTCGCCGGAATTCGTTGTGATTTAATTCCTTAGCACGACAGTATACTGCCTGGGCTCGGTATGGTTGCTTAAAAAACTCACCGTTATTGCTTGTCCTACTAGATGTTGGCCATATGCATTAAGGATTTGTTTTGTTATTTCTTGGGTTTCATATGTATTTATAAATACTACCTGGGATGGATTGGACAAATCATCATCAATATCATCCTCGTCATGTATCACCACCATCATCCATTACCTAATCATTATCTTCACTTTTACGTCATCATCATYACCTTGACCACTATAATACTTATCATCATCATCATCACCATCATCGCTGTCACATTCATCGTMACGTGATCAACCGGTGATCTTTAATGTCATTATTACTATCAAGATCTACTTACAAGAAAGTTACAAGCAGCTCTGACACAGTGCGAATCAGGGAGAGCGATGGCTGCTAATCCTGTTACRAATCGACACAAAACAGAACGATGAAAAACTGACTTATCAAGGTAAATGGGTGTAACCACACTTACAAACAAACTACATACCACATTGRAATATATGTGTTGCCATCCCATCTCCTCCAAACACTAGTTGTGTGTTTGTTCTTATTGCCTATAATACAATAGAAACACTTAGCACAAGAATGCAAACACTTATTGGGCACCTTGGACGACGAAGTTTATCAGTTTTAAGAGGAGATTTATTTACTTACTCGAGCTGCAAACTGCATGTAGGACTGAAGTATATCTGGGTGCTCTTGCAGGTCTGGAACAAAGAAGGATGAAGTTTAAAAAGCAGGCATT